GCAATGAGCTAAGCGAAGTAGTTGCATATACTGAGGGTACAAAAAAAATTCTAGATTATTTGTGAAACAATTAAAGCGTTTGTTAAAAGTTTTACAAAAAAAATATTTTCTATATATTGTACATATAAACATTTAAAATACACGGAAGAATATTATAAAGAAAACAAAAGCATGTCACATACGTTCCATCTAAAATTAAAATAAATTGTTATACACACAGAATTGTTCTAAGAAAAACTCTCACATTGACCAATAACAAAAAATAACTTTTATGAAGATATTTATCTTCATTTTTAACGGTCAGTTTGTATGACAGCTATGTGCTATAGTGACCTGATCTGAAAAATATGTTCGTAAATTCCAGCGTTGCCCTTGACGATAATCTATGCTAAATTTTGAAAAGATATCTCGTTAAATAAAAAAAAAATGTATACAAGGATTTAATTTTTCTGGTCAGTTTGTATGGCAGCTATATCTTATAGTGGTCCGATATTGGTTCCGACGAATGACCAACTTTTTGCGGAGAAAAGGACGTGAACAAAATTTCAGATCGATGTCTCAAAAACTGAGAGATTTGCTCGGGTATTAACAGTCGGACGGACTTACAGGCAGATGGTCATAGCAAAATCGACTCAACTCCTCACGCTGGTCATTTATATATACATTTTATAGTGCTCCGATGTTTACTTCTTGGTAAAAGGGGAAAAATATTTGGACCAAACGTTTAGCCACTGGAGACAATGGGATTGAGTTTTTTCTAAAAAGAAACATATTTATCGGCGAATTTAATATGTATTTGAAGTTCATACTTCATCATCTTAAATATTTAGATCACAAATATAACGAATAGATGGCGCTGGGGTCGTAATGTCTTCCAAATGTTTGATTTCACAGTAGATTGAATTTTTTACAGAAAAATGTGAGACTGACACTGTTAAATTTGGATAGTAGACTCAGCTTTATTTGTAAGCGAGTGCCAAAAGAATGCCCAACTCGGTTAAAGATGTTTCCCGATTCCCTTAAGAAGTCTGAAAATAACACTGAAGAATGCCAATATTAATGATTCTGGATGACCAGAGGCCTTTCGTTGTAATAGGAAAGAGCGAGATACAAAAAATGATTGGATTAAACATATGTACGATTGCTCTATTGAATTTGCTTTTCACGAAATATCGCTAGCTCTTTCAAGAACATATTCACATTTGTATTTATTTGCAACACATCATTCAAAATTACTAACTTCCAGGCAGTCAATAAAATGGTCGAGTTAGAGTTTCATAATTTTGATGTGTATTATTCGCCACTAGCTGTCGAGAAGAGGAACACTGGAGGCTAGAGTAGATTATATCGAGTTTGAGGTTGAGCGATGCGATTTTGAAGAAAAAAAAATTGTTCCAAGTGTGCATCTAAAATATACCAAGAATACCATATGTACATATATGTCTCAACAACCCGGTTTTCAGTCTGAGTTTATCTCGCACTCACGTATATTGAATACATAAATAATTATTGAACTCAAAGTGTGTGATCAGTAGATTTTCAGGATTTGAGATTTTCCAATTCGTAATCAATAACCAATAAAAATATTTCAATATTTCAAAACAAATATCAAATCATACATTAAGGAGTTATGATAGCTATAAAAATATGTAACCAGAGCCCGAAGTGTACAAATAATTCCACCACACACAAATCACTTAATTCATTTAAAGTCATGGGCTGGCAACACGGAAAAGGTGTTTGACCTTTTTTGCGAACAAAATCTCATCAAATGCTACGGCAAACGACAAACGGCAACAAAAATAAGAACAGTAATTTCGCAAATGGCAAAACATAAACAATGAAATAAGTATAAAAAACATTATCGCAAAAAAATCCTCCAATATTTCTAACTTATCGCCAGCACGAAGGGCTACGGTCTAAATAAAAGTTTTGCTTTGATTCAAGCTAGCTTTTAGCAGTACCAGGACTTTTTATTTTTGCTAGAGCTTGCAGGGATATAATAGCGTCGTTTGCATGCATGGATTAAATTTTTCTGCTTCTGCTTTTATCATATAATTAAAGTAAGCACACATTTTACATACTTTTTATGCAATTGCTTTGACTCACTGAGACTTCAGCTCCCTTACGGTAAACCGGTGGTATATAAATTGCGCCGGCAAAACTTTCAAGTAGAAAAGCGTGTAGACTCCATCTTGTAATTTGCCACACAAAAGTAATAGCTTGAAGGTGTTTTGTGGGTGAGTGTCTGTAGACGCCCATAAAACATTATGTTCGACATTAAAAATATATAAATCTGAACAATGGAAAACATGGAGTTGAAATGACGGTGATTTTGAAAACCTTATTTTGCTCGAGTGAAGATATAATTTCTTGATGTATAGAAGATTGGTCGTGTTTCTAAGGAACAAGATCATAAAATTACCATTATTACATTTATTATATATAATTTTTAAAAAGATGCGAAAGAAGAGGAATAGACTTTCCACTTGTGCTCTAGATATTCATGGCGAATTGGTATTTTTTTCTAAATTATTATTTTTCATGAAACCGGATCAACCCGAATTAAAATTAAATTCGTATTTAAGGATTGTTGCCAGAGGTATGTTATAACCTTAATAAGGAACAAATGAATAATTAACTTCAGAATCCAATGTAGAGCAAATGTAAGTACTGTTTGCTCAAAACTCACCAAAACTTCTGAATAGCTGGATTATCAGTTATATAGAACTTTCATTTTTGGGATTTTCAGTCGAAGAAAATTAGACAGTGCCATCTTTTAGCGATGAATTAATGAATAAAAAGTCCAATTGAGTCTAAAACAGGCGATTTAGAATAGTCGGGTATCTTGAGTACAAAATTCTTAGATAAAGTTCGAAACAAGTAAATTTTGAGAACTTAATGATCTATAAACGGACTTCCAGAACACATTTCTATAGAAACTGTGAACTAAAATTGAAGATTAGAACATCCCATAGTGGCTAGACTAAGGCATCACATATATTTTCCTCAGTTAAAAAAACACCGAGCAATTCGGTAATAAAATATCTGACAACAACACTATTGCCGCATAACAATCACACCTGTTACAAATTAGCTAGCGCAAGTTATAGGGTCTATAATTTATTTGCAGGTGACAAAACATCCTGATGTCACATACTATATATAACAACAAAAATTAAACCATTATACAAAATTTTTGAACAAAACTTCAAATATGATTTATTACACATACAACAGCTACTGCAAAAGCAAAAAACATAATATTACAACAACAAATACACCACAATCGACAACCGAAAATCAACGAACCGCAGAAATGTGCGTGAGTGCATTTATGTAGCTTGACAGCCGACAGAGGGACGGTGTAACCGCAGCGGTATGTAGAAAGTGGCATGAGGCATCAAAGTAGCGGTATGATGAGACAATATGCAGACACGCAACAAATAAGGCCATAAAATTAATGAAAACACACACAATGAGCAAAATAACAAAAGTATTAAAAAATATATATTTTCAGAAAAAAAATTATTTTCAAAAATATAAAAAAAAAAATATTATTTCAAACAAAAATTTATTGAAGACAAAAGTGACAGACCAAAATGCCTACAAAAACAAACGCACGTTTAAATATTTTAATATTTGATTGCAACATTGCAGAACAATTGCGACAGTGGCAAAGATTCACGCTTTGACACGCACGCAAAAGTACGCACGTGTCTATATATACATACATATGCAACAACTACAAACATTACAATCCCCTGTGTGCCATTTAAGGTGTTTTAATGCGAGTGCCCTTAGGCGCTTTAGATAGGCGCTCATTTAACGGGTCGCCTGACGTTGAAGCCAGCCAACGCTTGGGTACGCAAGCGGTCACATGTGCGTTGACACATTTTCCCAACACTCAGCCCAAGCAACGGACACCGAGGCGAGGCGTAAGTACACGTAGTAAGTAGCGAAGCTGCACCGACTAACTGTCGAACTAGCTGACTAGGCCGAAATAGTTAAGAGAGCCTAGCGTAGAATATTTGCTCTGTAAGGCAGGTAAAGTTGAGTTATGTTGGTAGTTTGTTTACAAAATGGCGGCTGAAAATCTCCCGCTTTGCAATATAAGTGCCACAGGCCAACAGCGGACCACCACCGACTGACCACCAACCTTCATTGACTTGGTATGGCGCCCAGTCGACGCTCGTTACTTGCTTCTGCTTTGTTTCTGTTATTGTTTCACATTCATACTTAGTTTCTAAAGGTCTTAGTTTTGTTGGTAAGCGCTTGTATGCTTGTTGCGGGAAGCGAAATGTAGTACTTAGATTCCGCATGCCTTCCTTCAACACTTTCTCATTCCCCACGATTATTAATTATGCTGTTGTTCACACACCTGTTTCGCTTTAAGTGTATGTAGAACTATAGTTTGAGTTCTAGTGAGTGTCTGTAATATCTTAACTTGAGAAGTTTGTTGTATAGGAAGTGCACAGCACATCGTAGTAATTCGTATGCGTGAAGACAATATCATTTATTGTGCTTCTGACTCACGATATGTCCAAATTGAATGCACTATTCTCTTTTCAACAAATATGGCAGCACTGCAGACAGTCACCAGTGCCAGGTGTTCACAAGAAAAGTATTTTGGACATAAATATATCGATAGCGGATCTATATAGAATGTAACTTTATAATAAATATTTATATTTTAGTGGAACAATGCAACCTGTTGCAGACCTGAACATTAAAAACTTTAGCGAGTATACACCTACCTACCTACAGCAACCACTCGAATCGACTTCCACGTGTATGTGTTCTTTTGTTTATCCTTATATCGCTTTACCACCTCACTCTCTCGATCTAGCTCGATAATTATCTTGTAAAACTTGACGTGGACCAGGATCAAAAACATGAAACCCCCACAGTTGTAAGCTTAACAATACTTAACATATTGTAAAATTAGTCATATATAAGATTCAGTTGTTTTGTTTTGTACTCAAAAATTTTTCGCTTTCCAACACTTAAATTAACTTTTATTCATGCCGCACTACAATATTTCTTCGCACACCTTTCTTTATTAAAATATTTGATATATGAAGTAATGTGCCTACACTTTTAACAAAAATTTACTGCCATTTTGGCATTTGAACCGTCTTTTATCTGCCTTTTGTCTTTAAATACATGAGTTAACATTGTTTTTACAGTCATTCACCTACAAATTGCGCGGCGTCAGCCAACCACCGTGCATCACTTTTGAGTCATTATGGTGCTTTGCTTAGTAGCTTTGTGCGCATTTTCATTAGAAAGTGTTGGAAACTATTCGTATGGCGAAAAACGTGTTTTTGCTTTTATTTTCTGTGTTTTTACTTTTGGTGTCTTCACCCTTTTCCTAAATCGACAACATAACAACAAACAATTTGCTACATTGTCAACAAAAGTTGTTTATACATAAGTTACCTGCAAACAACTACTGTACTGTAAATTACCCTTGGTCTTGTTGCTGTTGACAAGTTTCGGTTGTTTTTGTTGGAAATTGTTGTATTTTGTGGTTTTAAAAAGTGTAACCACAATTGTCTGCTCCGCAAATCAATGTGGTCGCATTGTGGTTGTTGTATATTTTGTTTTTGCTGTAGTGTTTATTATGGACTAAACCTTAGCAAGAAGGGAGATTTATATTACTAGAATTACGAGTATCGCATGGCAGGCAACTAAAATATTTTATTATTGAAAAAAAAAACAACTTGATGTTTTAAAAAATATTTGAAATGACTGTTTATAAAAAACTTTAGACCTACTTTAGACCCATTAAACAGAGTGGAAAAGGGAATTCATCTTATAAGCTAATAAATTTAGAAAATCGTTAAAAATAAAAACCGAAATAAGGTGTGGGTGTTGTTGTATGATGCATCAAAGTCTTTTTTTTTAGCATTTTTGTGCAGAAGAATACACGTTAGAAATTTTTACTTTTTTGAAATGATTTCCAAATTTCTTTGACGTCACATTCAAGGAATTTCCAGACAAATACTCTAAGAAAAGAAAAAAAATTAAGATATTGATCAATCATGCTCTATCATTCTCTACAACAAACCAAGTCCGACTAGCAAATATTCTATAATATTTATAACTACATATAAATCACCGGTATTTACTGCAATGCAAAAACTGAAATGAAATTCAAAATATAATGCAGCTAAAATATTTTTCAAAGCACGATTTCTCCGCAGTTCACAAATTACACCCACACAAACACAGGAGGCACCCAACCATCAACTATTCCACCTTCACTTGGGTCAAGTTCAAAGCTAAAAGGGGCACCAAAACACAAAAATATCGAAAAATCAATACAAAAACAAAAGACAAAATCAATAAGAAAGAAATATTGAAAAAAGCAGGCAAACGATCAGCAATTTTATGGACTCTTCACAGCCAACGATATCCTGACATTTATACATTCACAGCTACTAAATACTTGTACATTGACTCAGTACATTTGCGAAGCACTTATTTTCAAGATCATTCATCAATTGGCCGCCTTCGTCGACGTCTCGCCTTCAACCAACCGCATAATAATCTAAATAAACACTTGGTCACTCACTCGCAAATGCCACAACGCTGCGGCATACTCGGTATATATTACAACAAAACGGTAAATGGATGCAATGCAGACACACTACATCTGTGCAAGCTGTTTTGAAGTGGGTGAAATGCGCAAAACAACAAGAGCACACGAAGTTCGCCAAAAAGTTTATCCAAATGTTTATTTTTCAAGAAGATTTATTAATATGTGCTGTGAAAAATGGACAAGTGCAAAGAAAAAGAAAAGCAAGTAAATAACGAAGGAAATCAGATAGCAATAAAAATCATGTGAATGACGAATAAAGGTAATATATAATATATATAGTATGTTTGTTGAAGTTATGTACACATATGGACATTAAAATAGGTACAGTTGTTTAAAAAAATTAATGACTGTCAACTCGGCAGCATTCTTCAAAATTATTTCAGGAATTTTTATGCCGCTACAACAACAACAACGAATCAAAATTAATTACAAATGTAAGAAATAAAATGAAAATCATATGATTGCTCATAAGTGGCAACATTGGTTTAGATTTAATTTTACGAAATCATAAATTTAACCAAAAACAAAAAAAAACAGTTAAATAATAAATCTATATATGGTAAAAGTGGCAACACCGCTTCGACTTAATTTGGCCGAATCACTGATGCTTCGACTTAATTGATCGAAGTGTTAAAAGACAACAATATATAATATATTGAAAAAAATTTAACAAAATTAAAAAAAAAAAAATTGAAAAGTGGCAAGATTGGTTTGGATTTAATATTACGAAATCCCTACTTCCATTTAATTTACAACATCAACAATTTTCGTAGCCACTAGCAAATGTTTAAATCCAATTTAATCTAATCCGATAATATGAGCGAAAATATTTGAAAGAGTAGTTCGTACTTGTTCGTTAATGTTCGTCAGAAAATAAATATTTCAAAGAAAGAAGATTTTTTTACATAGAAAATAAAATGGCACAAACGAATTAGGATTTTCAACTCAAGACCCAAAAAAGTGAACAATAAAGCAAGTTATTGGCCAAGAATGAAAGTACGTTTTTTTTTGTGAATGCTTTATTCTTCGTTATAACCTCGATCTGGAACAAGACATTTGTTGTAACAGGCCTCCAACATTGCGATACCAGTTCGATAGTCTGAAACTGCGAGGCCTTCATTACAGACGTTTTTTCATCTCATCCGCATTTGAGTGAAATCTTTTTCCAGTGCATCACTTTTTGAGTCTGGCAAAAAAGAAATAGTCGCTGAGAACCAAATCTGGTGCATGTGGTGGGTAGGGAACAGAGGTGGCGCTCCTTTGAGACCACAGATTTGAAAACGATTGAATGAAATTTTATGAAGCTTTGACAATAGCTTAAGGGTAGTACTCTGAGATAAGGCGTGGTTTCTCGATCAGGCCAAAGGCATGATTCAGTGCATGATTTTACAAAAAAAATTCAAAAAAGAAAACAACTTTTCAATTAAAAAATTCTTATTTTTCCAGCTTCAAAGCGTTAGTACCTATTTCAATGTGCATAACTGTATGCTTATGGGTTATGAGCAACATAAAAGGCGTGTCGCAACAATATAATAATCTTATCAGAGGCGAAGGTGCGAACTAAGCGCTTCTCAAGTACATATGGTACCTATTACATTTTAATAATATTAACTCGTTCATTCATATATTATATTTTATGGCACAATATAATGACAAAAGTAACAATAACACAAGAGTAGAGCGCTGATAAGGCTAACTAATAAATGTTGACGAAACAACAATTGTTCATCAAGTGTGCAAATAAAAGCGACGGAGTGACGATGTCGAACAGCGAAATGTCAACAAGGTTATTTACAGGTAAATACCGAAGCGTCATGCGAATACATACAACACATACATACCTACACATGTATGTATGCATGCGCATATGTTGTCGATACTCAAATGAATGGCAAAAATTAACAAGAATTTATTTTATTTAGAACTCGAGGTTCGTCAACTCTTCGAAGTGGTATAAGAACCTTTGTGGATGCATATAAACATATATATATATATGTATGTATGTAAGTAGGTGCCATATGACAACGTCCACTTAATGAAGTGCTAATAGTGGCCTAACAAGCAATTCTTTATCTACTACCACCGACTTAACCCTAAATAAATATGCTGTACCTGCCTGGTAAATACTTGTTAAGTCTATAGATATTCATGGAAATGTACGCCTAGCAATGTTATCTCGGGAATTTTACAGCAACAATGAGCTAACTCAACAAATTTCACATTAAATCGTTAAACTGGTCTATAGACTTCCGAGTTCCGAGCATGTGCTAAGTGATTTAACCAACAACAAAGTATCGATGGAGGCAAAATTATGCCACAAATATGTGTGTAGGTGTGTAAGTACATAATTTGTATGCGCATGCAGCAGAAATGACAAATCAAATTGGTTTCTTCTTCACTAGAATATTCACATGTAATAAAAAGAGTTATGAGTTATAAATGAATTGGGAAGTGTTTAGGTGTGCGTAAGGCACCAAGGCAGCGGGAAAAACCTATGTACCTCGTGCAGGTAAAAAAAAACGTGCGCAACTCGTCACCCTTGGTGGGCGCTGCGTAAACAACTATATTCCCATAAATTTATATGTATGCAGAACAATGTTAATTCACTAATTTGTTGATTTTCTTTACTTTCTTCTGGAAAACTGTTCGAATTCTATAAAAATTAATAAGCTAAACATGTAGTGATAAACAAGTTTTACTAACGTCAATTAGAAAAGCGGCATATTTAAGTTTTAATAAATCGATCGCCCAAGCGAATGGCCATTATAATACAGTGGCGGTTAGTAAAAATGCAGTGCAGCTTATATATCGGAAAAAATATATTTTATTTTATGGGTACGAATTCAATTTTATTTCATGCAATTTTTATATTTTATAATTACCGTTATTCAACTTGAAATAAAATGCAACCCTTAAGTTTTACTTTTTAGTAAATTTTGGCACTTTTGTCGAATTAATAACATAAAAGCAAAGTATTGTATTAAATATAAATTGATTTAAGCTACAAATTATGACTTTGTTTGTAATATAATCGAGAGAGAGAGAGAGAGAGAGAGAGAGAGTTGTGAAGCTATAGGCTTTGCAGATAGTTTTTATTGCTGCAGAGATTGTTGGGACTTGTTCTACAATAATTCTTGACACGTTTTATTTATTGTTGGAATTTTTGGCGAAAAAATTATTTAATATTAAAGTATTAAATATGACTGTAAGTTCACCCAAGCTGAATTTTTGACAATCAGCTGATACCAATGTGAACTGTAGTGCAAGAAAGAGGACCAAAGAAAAAAGGAAGATAATGAAAGCGTAACAGAGCGAAAACAGAGATAAAGAGTGACTAAGTGATAAGCTCTTTAAAGAAAATTACCAAGATATTGTCTCGACAGTGCGAAAGTAAATGAAATTTTTGTTAAAAATGTATTATAAGACCTAAAAATTATATATCTTATTATATTTAGAGTAACATATATTTTTAGAATTACTTGAAGCTTAAAAGTTATATCCACATACATGTCAGAAAACAGCGTAAATAAAGATTGTGAATTTACCTTTCCTACGACATTCGGGTGTACGTAACCGAAACGGACCCGGTTATTCAAGGACTGTCAACTCAGCAGAATTCTCAGAACAACAACAACAACAAATTGCATTTACAAAATTTTATGTACTTTAATAATGGACTATTAATGTTGAAAAAATTTGGATTTTCTTGATCCCGTAGCCGATCTCCAGGAGGACCTCTGACAACGAGTGTCTGGCACTCTCTGGAATTTTTTTTTTGCTTAAAATTATTTCAAATTTAAAAGCCAAAAAAAAAAAATATTATTACTATAGAAGAATAAAGGTGGTGAACGACGATCTTGCAAATATATTGATTTTTGACAAAACGACTTGCCAAACAAGTCGGGTTTTGTGAAAATATTTACAGTTCAGAGTGGCTTAAAAATATGAGTTTAGTATCAAAAATCATATTCCTTTGATTATTAACTGACAAATACATATGTATATCTAAGAAGGTAATGTGAAATTTTCAACCTTTCGGCGAAATGTTCCTCACCGACTCTGAAAACAGCATTTCGAGAAAAAATGCGTTTAAAGTTTTGGTAACCGATTACACGTAGTGAAAAATTATTACAAATACGTTCATATGTCCGAAACTATTATTTGCGATATCAATCAATGTCAAAGAATATTTTGAAATATATGTACACATGTCAAAGAATATTTTGAAATATATGTACATTCGATAAATATGGATATAGCGGATATAAAACAAGGTATAGCAAAAAATAAAAATTTAAAACATGTTTTGAAAATGGGATAATTGAAAATAAATATATATTTCGGGATATAAACATAATATATTTTTTTAAATTTATTTCTGGTGTTGCAATTAACCCACCCACCACTGTAATAAATAAAAAACTGAAGAACACAGCAGCAGGTCAACCATAAAAAATATATACTTACATACCATAGATATCTAAGCACATATTTATTCTACAATGAAAAAAAATCCTCCCATGATATACGGTCTATGCCCGGAAATTAATAAAATAAAAAATATTTACATATGTGCGTTAAGTGTATGTGTGCAATTACAATTTAATTACGTCATTTAAGGCATAAATTTCTCATTTAATATGGTAAACAATACCGCTTTAATAGACTAATGGATGCATGAACTCGTAGAGCAACCGCAAAGCGTGTTATTTCGGTAAGTAAGTCATCTTTAGTGAGTATTAAACGAAATTAGTAGATGCTGACTGCAGCAGAGGAGAAAGAAGCTAGTTAAATATTAATGTTATGTAGATGTCGAAGATGTTGTGCGAAAAGATACATACTTACATATATGTAAATCATTTTTATGAATACAATTACACATTTTACCACTTTCGCGTTGTGAGTGGAGTGAATTTAGTGCTTAATGCAACTATTTATCTTTTAGTTATTGTCAGTTAATTGGAGCATAGCGTACGATTACTGTTGGTAGACACTGTATATTGCTTAAAGTGGCTGTAAAAGCTACTTATGCGTCAGTTTAAACATTAAATACCATACTTGGAGATAACAATTCAATTATTGTTATTATTTCTTGATATTATTTTTTGCTTAAGAACTGTGTTTTGAGAGCAAACGCGAGGGTAATTAAAAAAGTTAAAACTAAACAAACAAACAAATTATTTAATGTTAAATATGATAAAAAAAACAAAATTTTTTAGCATATCAGATAACGTAATCGAGTAACCCACTTTATTTTATTTTCCAAACGAGTTAAAAGACCTTGGAACGAGTCATTAAACGATAGCCGAATGTGGTGGGTATGTAATTGATAAAAAATGTGACTTTGGCTGCACCGAAGCAGTAATTCCCTTCAGAGGTGTATATCTTATAGGATAAAAGGGTATAAAAAGATATTTTTCTTGACTTCGATTGTGTAGTTTGTATGGCAGCTATATGCTATAGTGGTTCGATCTGAAAAATTTTTACGGAGCTGATAGCGTTGCCTTTAGCCAATAATTTATCCCAAATTTTGTGGAGATAATTCGTCAAATAAAAAGTTTTCTATACAAAGACCTAATTTTGATCGATCATTTTGTATGACAGCAATATGATATACTGGTCCGATCTGTACAATTTGTAAAGATGATTATATCTTTGTCTTGGACAATAATCCATGCCAAATTTCGTGAATATATCTTGTCAAATAAAAAAGTTTTCCACAAAAGAACTTAATTTTCATCGGCCAGTATATAGTGTGGCAGCTCTATGCTATAGTGGTCCGATATTGGCGGTTTCGACAAATGAGCAGCTTCTTGTAAAGAAAAGAACGTGTGCTAAATTTCATATCGATATCTCAAAAACTAGTTTGCGTAGGGACATTGCGCGTCACGCTGATCATTTCTATACATATATACTTTAGAGGGGACTCCAACGTATACTACTGAGTGTGGCAAATTTCATGGCAAACTAAATATAACTTGTTCGAAGTATAAACGGTCATATTTCGCTCTAGCAACACAATAACTAAAAGAACTGAATAAATAAATAAATTTTTAAATATTATATTAAAACCTCCTGAAAAGAATTCAAAAATCATTTTTAAACCCAAATAATTTTGCGAAATTTAATAGTTTAATAAATAATTGATAAAATGTATATCTGCTATGGAATAAGAAAATATATATACAAAAATAAACCCAGCATATAAAACATTTGCTCGGTACAGCTGTACTTGAATAGAAAAATTGAGTTAAAGATATAAATAATTGCGCTTCAGACACACATATTGGTTGAAAACACACATCAGATGTTCTCTAAAATTTCATTTTTATTTCTATTTAATAGTCTCTATGCATAGTGCTGGTCATAAATTTAATTTTTGCAGCATTTCGATTTAATTCAGTAAATGTTTTAAGTAAATTGCTAAGACCGATGTGTAATTAATAAACAAACGCTACTACACCAACGGGAAATCAAGTAATTTATTCTCCCTACCCACCCCACAACCGTATGATGCATACGTCACAAGCCCCCAGCACTTAAGAAGTCTTAGCACAACAACAGCATGCATGTGCGCATTAATAATATACAAAAACAAAATAAAAACTATATATATATATAATTTCTATAAAACAACAAAAGCATAAAATGCATGAGAAAGGTGTTGCCAAGCTGACGCAAACAACAACAACACTTGATGGGGCGGTAAGAATTGAAGACAGCCAGACTGGCGAGCGAATAGACACTTTCCAGCGCTGCAATAGGGCAACACATAAAAGCAAAGGAAAGGAAGGAATGCACAAATGTATAGGTATATGTATATATATGCTTACAAAAGTAATGGACAAGCAACAATAACAACAGCGACGATAAAGTTTAAAACTAAAAATAACACCGCAAGTTCCGCTGGAGTAAACTTTTGTTGAAAATTCTGGTGCAGCGAAATGTGGCAAGGTAAAGGAAATAGCACAAGTACAAATAAGCAGGGAAATGCTGCTGAAAAATAAAACACAAAAACAAGAGAAGTAAAAAAAAAACAAAAAAAAAACAAAAAAAAAACACTATGACGGAACTAAACAGATCTGAGGCATATTTAAGTAAGCCACGGCAGCTTGTTATGATGGGAATATAGTAGATGTTGAATTACCTACGAAAATTATTACTTATAATTATACCATATATGCATACATGTACAATATAAATATAACAGCACAAAGAAGTGGAGACATATGGAACGGTCAAGGTGAAGGCGATAACCCGTAGTATAGTAAGGCAACTTTGATTATTTTATGGGGTTTAGGCATCAAATTATTATGCTATCCAACTTATTTGAAACTGCAAATACAATGAGCTTTCTAAAGAAGACAGTCTTACCCCAATTTCGACTGATTCACAACGAGTCGGTACCACGCTGTCCTCTTTCGCTGTGGCGATAGATCTATGGACGGCTGCGAGATCCTTTTGACCCAAAATGAAACGCCAAAGGTGAACTATTTGCTCTTAGCATGGCCTAGGGGCGGTGGAACCATCTAGACACTTTCTTCCCAAAAAGTTCGCTTCGTCGATCTATAGGTATCTGCAGAGTTATGTATAACTAGGATTTTTAGGATTCACAAAGGCCACGCGGATCCTTCGTAACCTTCGGTGCGAGTATCAATCCTAGCGAAGTCAGTCAGCTTCAGTGCGCAAAATTATAAAAGTGATTTTCTCTAAATAGAGCGACGGATGACGGGCAAAATAAATTATCAATATCAGTTATTTTAGGGCTCTAGACTGGCCTAGCGCCTTCATAAAAACATACAAACTTGTTGTAGCGGAAGAAAGGACCCCCCAAATACTTCTGCCGAGTTGACAAACCTTGACCGAATAAATACGAGACCGTTACCGTTTCAAAAACAAGACTGTTGTTATTGCAGCAGATAACAAAATTTTCCAATTTTAAATAAAAATATGATTTAAATAAATCTGCCAAATTGATATTTCCCGGTAAAACAAATGTTGGTGCGCATCGATTTCCTAGACCCGAGTATTGTTGTTGTAACAACAGAAAATATTACTCACACAATTTTGACGAATACTGTGGAGTAGTTAACTGTTGACCATATTAAAATTCCGAGCCATTCCGGTTATATATTAAATAAGAACACACGTCACTTCGGTGAAAATTTTCAGATCGACATTCAAAAATAAAGTGAATAGACTAGTTCGCGTATATACAGACGGACAGACAGACAAATTCGGGCCTCCGACCTTTCCTTCTGGGAGCTAGAAACTTCTTGCCAAACTTATTATACCTTGTACAGGGTATAACAACATTATACAATTCATATATAATTTTAGGAACTCTTGGGATATGATGCGAAAAACAAAAATATGAAAG